CCGGACACCCAAGGGGAACCCCTGCCCAGCCCACGGGGCGCCAGCCTCCCCCTCCCTGCCCCCAGACCTCCGAGGTTGCCCCCTGTCCTGTCTGATGGTACCTCCTTTGCCCCTAAGCAACTAGGGGACACCCCCTACCAGCCCCCAAAAGGAGTCCTTCCCAGCCCTCTCCCGATTCTTCAGAGCCCCACCCACCAGAGGCCCCAACCCAGTCTGCACCCCGCCTCGCATGCCAGTCCTCGCCGCGACCCCAGGCAGAGCGCCACCTATGGCAAACCGAGAGAGCCACTCCCACCTCGAGGGGTCTCCCCCAGCAGAGTGCTCCTGCTTCACCCCCCTGCCTCCCCAGGTGGGCGCACCTGGTAAGGCTCGTCCTGCATCCTGCGCAGGGCCAGGGCCTGGGCGCCCAGCGTGCCCACGATGCCATCCAGGGCCTCGGGGCTGCTCAGCCACTTCCTGCGCATCAGCTTGTTGAAGTGCGGCTGAGAAAGACAGGGAGGGGGGAAGGGTCACAGCTCCCTTTCTCAGCCCCCTCTTTCTCCACTTACCGATTCGACATGTCCGCAAACCCTGCTCTGAGCTCAACCACGGCTGAGTCCAGAGGAAAAGACAGACCTGTCCCCAGACAGTGACCGACCACCCAGGGCTAGGATGCAGGAGCCCAGGAAGGGGGTTAGGAAGCTCAGAAGGGATGATTGAGTCAGCATAGAGTCAAGGAGGGCTTCTTGGAGGAGGGGACACCGGAGCTGAGGCCCTGGATGATGGTCATTGTTAGCTGGATACGGGGTGAGAGAGAGTGTGTCTCCGTCAGAAGGAAGTGTGCAGAAGGTTCTGATTCCAGGAGGGCTCGAGGGGCAGAGGACCAGGAAGGTCAGTGTGGTTGGCGAGGCCGTTCGCATGATCCGCAGGGCCCAATGCAAATGAAAATGGGAGACCCTCGCCCCAAAACTGTTAAGAACTTCAAGACAGAGACAGCGGAGAACTGAAGGAAGCTTGGGCCCTTCTAAGCAGAGAGCCCCGTGTGACTGCCTAGTTCTCTCATCCCCGAAGGCAGAACTGATGATGGGGAAGGAAATGGAAGGGGCCGGTCAGGCCAGCTGGGCTGGAGCATCTGGTGGGGGGCGCACTCCTGGTCCGTGTGAGGGGCCCCAGCTTTCTCACGAGGACAGTGGGGAGCCATGACAGGTTCTGAGCAGGAGAGGGTCAGGTTTGTGCTTTACCAGGATGGATGGGAGGAGGCAAGACTCAGGCAGAAATGGGGGTGGGGAGGATGGAGGGAGGGGAGAGGGAGGGCAAAGGGGGTCAGAGGGGGATGAGGGGGTAAGGAGGGGGAAGGGAGAACTCAAGTGATAGATTCATAGGATGCAGTGAGTGACCACCTGTGGGGGGAGGGGATGGAGCCACCTGGACAAGATCCTGGAGGTGGGCTGGGCAGAGGGTCAGTCCCTGAGGAGGCCGTGGGGAGTGAGGGGAACACACTGCAGTCCGGGTGGAAACCAGGAGTGTGAGGTATCTGGAGACCTCGGGGGTCTGAAGAAGATCTCTATCCCGCTCAGCCTAGCACCTCCATCTCTCTCATCCCGAAAATAGCCCAGTTTTCTGAACCTCCAAAATTGGGGCCCATAGGCTTTTTTGGTGGGGGAGGAAAGCCAGTGCGAATTCAATGAGCTGATGTCCTCGGCACGGCGCCCGGCTCAGGACACGTCGCTGTTGCTGTGAAGTGTGTACATTTGTGACGATAACGATGGCCAGACCCGCGGGCCAGGACCTAAGCTCCTTAGGGCCGTGTCCCATTGCTTCCTCGCAGCCGCCTGAGAAGCCTCGTATTCCTGTCCCCCCTGTCTAAACAGAGGCCCTGAGTGGACAAGCAATTTGCCCGGGGTTCTCCAACCTGGAAGCGGTGCAGTCGGGTCCGAAACGAGGACTATGCCACACCTCTGAGCACCCCCACACCCCCTAACAGCTCACGCACCATTCAGTCGCTCAACAAACACTCCCTGAGCCCTTCCCGTGGGCCCAGTCCTGGGTGGTGGCTGGGGACACATCGGAGAACGCTTGGGGACACAGCGCAGAATGAGACATACTCGGGTCAAAGGAATCTAGATACCGATGTGATATTTGTTGATATTAAGGAATTCTCGCTCTGCGTGTCAGGCATGAAAAAGGCACCGTGCTTGTTTGTTTAAGAAGGGTTCCTTATCTTTTGGAGACACAGGCTGAAGCCTTGATGGATGACAATACGATATGGCAAGTATCCGCTTGAAAAGAATCCAGTGGGCAGGAGAGGTGGGGGGAGAGAGGACACAGGATGGGCCAGGAGCCGACACTGGCTGGAGATGTGTTATGGGTCTACCAGAGGTCATTCTGTCATTCTGCCTACTGCTGTGTGTGTTTGAAATTTTCCATAATAAGAAGTTATTTTAAAAGCATTCCAACCCATCCTTGTCCTTGAGGACCTGATATGCCAGTGGGAGAAGAAAAAAAAGCAAAGCATGGAGCGTGGCAGCTGGTGGCAAGTGCTTTGGTGACAAATAGAGCAGAGAGTGAGGAGGGGGTCTCGGGGCACCTATTCTATTTATTTACTTCTTTTTTCTTTTTTTCACTTTTTTTCCCCTCTTGTGTTCTTGTTGCTGGGTGTCTATTTTTAAATAGGGCAATCAGGAGACGTCTCACTGAAAAGGTGACATGTGACTCGATTCTTGAAAGAGATGAGAGAGGGAGCGAGGTGGCCGTTGGAAGGAAGAGTGTTCCAGGCAGAGGGAAGGTCAAGGGCAAAGGTACCGAGGCTGGAATGTGTCAAGGTCAGGAGCAGCAGGGGGCAGTGTGGCTGGAATAGAGTGAGGGAGAAGTAGAAGGAGGTGAGGTCAGAAGGGGGAGGGGCAGAGCGTGCAAGGCCTTGGGGGCCACGGTGGGGACACCGGCTTTTGCCCCCAAGTGAGCTGGGAGCCGTGCAGGGTTCTGAGCAGAGGAGGGACGCGAGCCCGATGTACGACGACGCGGACCGAGCATGCGCCTCAGCCATCTACCTTGGGCTCCCTCCGCCTCCTCCCACCACCCTCCAGAAATGCTCTCACCACCTCTGAACCCAGCCCCCCCCACCCCCCCTCTCCCTGGCGCGGGTATGCGCAGGAGCTCGGCGAGGGGTGAATGGGGCTCTAGAGTCTAGGGCAGGCTGGGCAGGGATTTGGGGGACCTCAGTGGAAAGGAGCTCCACCCAGTCCCCAAGGCCCCTCCTGTTGGTGACCATATCCTCCCACCTCTTCCTTCTGGTCCCCCTCTCTGCCCCTCAAATGGCCCAGACATGGCCATCACCCCCACCCCCACCTGCTTCCCAAATATTGACTCATGGGGCTGAAAGGAACTGAAAGGTGTGGGGGTGCCCTCCCCTATCCCGGGTGTCCCACCCCGGCCCCCTGCCTCACTCACCTGCAGCTCCTGGAACAGGATATCGGCAAGGACACGGTGGCAGAGCCGGGTCACACGGTCCAGAGCACTGGTCGCTGCTTCCCGAGCCGGCTCACTTTCCGGGGGTCCCACCCGGGCCAGGCGCTCTGCCAGAGCCCTGTGAGAATCAGTGGAGCCAACGGTCAAGGAGCCCCAACATTCAGCCCAACTACCTAGGCCCGTCTGCCCCCTTAAATAGACTCTATTTTGTGGGACACGGGGAAGTCAGGGACTCTGGGGAGGGTCTGGGGGCTGAGAAATACCAGGAAATATCTGGAAGGCTGGGGAATTGGGGGGCTCTGTGGAATGTCTGGGGTCTAGGGGGTGTCGTGGGAGGAAGGGGGTCCCTCTCTGTTCCTCTAGGTGACAGTGGGGAGGTCTCCGTCTTCAAAGTCTGTGATTCTAAATGTCTGCAATTCTGAAAGTCTATCCATCTCATTTTCTGTCATTGTAAGAGTCGATGACCCTCCCAAAATACCTTCCATTTGTATTTTTTTGAAAAGAGGAAAAGAAATAATATGTGTGCATATATTTAAATATATTTACTTGCATACGTATCAAATATGCATAGGTTTATGCATGAATGATGCATATATCAGCATATGTATGAAGTAGATACAGTATATATGCATAGATACACTTATTATTTATACGTATTTCCTGGTAAATGTTACAACTATCCCCGCAAAAGTATGGGAGACAGGAGCAACAACCGGGTGCCTCTAAGTGGGGACAGGGGGAGGAATGAGGTGGGCGTGAGGCTTTTCACTGTTTTAAGTTGATAAAAAAAGAAAGTAAGACAAAAAGGTAAACAAAACATCTGTAATTCTTAGAGCCCGTGAGTCTGGCTTACAGGTTCCTGCAATTCTAACTCTCCAGTGTTCTGATGGCTCCGTGTCTGTGGTTCTTTCTGGGGTCCCAGGTTTTATGCGCCTAAGGTGCCACGTGTATGCCCGCTCAGGGCCAGCTCCGCAATCCCCACCCAGGATCCAGGCACCTCGGTTCAGCCCTCTCCCCAACGCACTGTGGGAGCTCTCACCTCAGGGGGGGGCCACAGTTGACCAGGACGATGGTCCTGCTGATGTAAGTGTCTGGTAGCAGCTCTCGGATTCCTGGGTTCTCATGGAATCTCTCCACACGCTGCTGGAAGCTGGTGGGAGGGAGGAGGTTGGGTCCCTTGCTGGGCGCTCAGCCCAGCAAAGCCGGGGTCCCCACAGAGGCACCCCTGTTCTTCCTGCCTTTGATTTTTCCTTTTATCCTCCTCTCTCTATTGGATCCCAGGTCCTGAGCTCCTCCCAGCTCCCCTCACCAGCCAGACCTGCCCCAGCCCTCCGTACCTCTGCAGGAACTCTGCCAGCCCCCCCAGGCAGCAGTAAGCCATCCGCTCCCCGAACTCCTGGCTGATGCGGGGCGCTCGCTCTGTGTGCTCTTCCAGCAGCTACATGGTCCAGGGGGATGAGAAGGGGTGAAGAGGGGGCGAGGTAGGTCCCACTTTCCCACCCTGGCCCTGTCCGGCTGATTCTCCTTGCTCTTCCCCGCCCCCTACCTCACACACGTCCTGAGCCAGGCTGCCGGTCCAGTCCTCCGTGCTCCCCCAGTGCTCCTCATCCTCCTGCAGCACCCGCAGCAGGGCCGCCCGGGTCTGAGCCTGGCGTGGGGAAGTGGGGGGAGAGGCAGGCGTTGGGGGCGCCTGGGAGAGGCTCGCCCTCTCCTTCCCCCTCCGTGATCCCCACACCTCAGCCCAAGCGGGTCTGGATTCTACCACTAAGCTCGTCAAGGTCATGCTGGGGAGGAAGGCTGGACCAGAAAACCTCCCCAGCCCGTTGCATTGCCAAGTCTATGATCTGGAGCTTGATATGAAGAGTTTAAGCTTCCTCCATCCACACTCATTATCTGATGGCCCTAAGGCTCTGCTTCTCAAAACAGCTCATTCGAGGTTGTCCGATTCTGGGACTCAAAAATTCCCAGGGTCTGGGATTCTAAGGTTAACACATCTCTGAGTCTCTAGCCCAATGGTATCAAGTCAGTGCGTCTGAGAACCTAGCTGCAAAGATTCTGATTTCTGTGGCTGAGGCAGGACTGACATCCAAGCAGGAAACCCCCTTGGCCAAGCTGGGTGTTTATGGCTGAGTCATTCTGCTAGTGATGCTTGGCCCAGCCAGTTATTAACCACGTTTATGATCAGCCCTGCTTAAACGCCGAGATGCTTTGGTGCCGTCCTTCTGTGGGTGTTTGGGTCTGTGAGCTGAGGTTCTGTGACTGACTTTCTCCTGCTCTAAGTTTTGAATATCCAAATGTACTGAACCTTTACTGAGTGTCGCTATGCCCAGCTGGGTACTTAAAATACAGCACTGAATGTAGGACAGAGGTGATCAGTATGGACTTCCATTTCTATGTCTTTTGGACAGAAGTCCACACAGAGAAAAGGCAGATGGAAATAGTGAAAGGGGAAGGGGAGGGCCCCCCGAGCCCAGTGCGACCCCTCCTTTCTTGCAGAGTACTGCCCGCTCCCTCCCAAATCACCAATACCAAGTCTCAGGTACCTTAACGTCTGTGACACATTCATCCTCCAAGCCCCTCACGGTGCCAGGTGACAGAAGGGACCCCAGCTCCCCGTTCTCCAAGGCAACCACGTTCATCAACCCTAGGACCTCTCTGGAGGCGGGGGGCAAGAAACAAGAGACAGGGAGGTCTGTGGGGGGGGGCTGGGCAACCGAACCCCTCCCCGTCCTCGTCCCCCCTGGGCCACTCCCTTCCTCTCTTGGGGCCAGCTTTGCTCATCCCCCAAAGGAAGTCTCTAGAACTGTAGCTCTCCTGGCCCCAGGTCTCTGAGTCAGCTCCCTGATGGATGGTGTCCGGGCGAGATTTGTAGGACTTGTAGCGGTCAAGTCCAGGCTTGATGATCCGGCACGCAAGGTCTCACCCACGATCGGCTTCACCAGACGGAAGCTCCCTTCCACCCCCGCTCCTAGTCCCTGTGGCCTCGCCTGGCCTTGGAGGCTGCCCCAGCCCAGTCCTCACTCCACTGTTCTACTCCAGCACGGCCCTACCTGTCCAGGCCCAGCCCTCGCCTCCCCCGCCCCCCTCCCCGGCCACACACCATGATGCTGCTCGTGGCATTTTCTCAGCCATAAACATCGTCTTCCTATAAATTGGACTTAACTCATGTCCCACCATTCCAGGAAGCTTTCTAGACTCCTTCTCCTGCTCGCATCTCTCGTAGACAGTGCGAGAGGGTCACGAACGCGTATCCCCAAATGGGGCCTAGGAGGTCGATGTTGGTAGCTGGTGCCTTCCCATTCTAGTGACGGCATCCTGACTCGGTGTGAGGAACCACCCACCCCCTCCACTCTCCAGCGTGTGGTTTGTGTGTGACCAGCTCCTTTCCCCTGGAGTGTGCAGGTGACACGGTCATGGCTAACCACCCTATGCCATCCCCCAGCCACAAGAATGGCTATGTTTTAAGATTCAAAAGCTCGATATAAGATTCTAGGATGGGAGGCTCAGCAGCGCTGAGGTTCTGGACGCTAAGACTGTAGAATTCGAGGGGCCGACAATGCTACAGTCCTCCAGCTGGGTGGCCAACGGCGTCAGGATTCCAGGATCCAAACTGGGGACGAAGCTAAGGTTTAGGGTTTGAAGGCTCATTGGTAGTAAGATTCTAGTTTTGAAAGCACCGTCATTTCTAAAGCTCTAAGGCTGGAGGAGTCAACTGTCCTGGCCCCAAATAGAGAGCAACGTAAGGGTTTTAGAGTTCTAAGGGTCAACAGTGCCCAGATTTTAAGACAAGAAGGGCCAGCGGTGCTAAGTTTCTGGGACTGCCAAGGTCAATGGTCAATGATGCTGAAATTCTAGGAGCGTAAATGTCAACAACGCTCAGATTCACGGACTGCAAGGTCCGCAGTGCAAAGGTTCTAGGTTTGGAAAGATGGGAGGCGCTAAGATTCTACGACTGGAAGGATCGGGGTCCTCGGAAGGATGGGCAGCGCTGATTCCAGGACTGTAAATGTCACTAATGGTGCCGATTGGAAGGGTCACGGCGTGAAGGTTCTAGACTCGAAGGTCAGCTGTTCCAAGGTCCTCAGGATCCAAAGAGGCCAGGGGTCTGGAGGGGCGGGGCGGGGGACGGTTCTACGCGACCCGGGGCGTCTGGGCCCTAGGCGGTGCGGTCCGCGGCGGCCCCAGCTCACCTGGGGTACACTTGATTGTGCCAGTGCAGCAGCGCGTA